TAGCAATGCTGATCCCCCAAATCCAAGCAATTCAAAGGGAACTCGGGGAAAATCACAGGCCCCTGCAGTTACTCCCTAAACAACAGGCATGACCCAAATAAGCTTCCATGGTTTAAATATTGGGAGGGGCACGTACAGCCAGGTCCATTGGATCGGGAACAGGAGCACTGGTCCATTCAGAGATGGAGACGGGTCTCCAAAGAGTGACTCCAATAACACAAACTATAAAATGGACATAACAGGAGTCTACAGTGTAATCAGACAGCTACATAATCAAGTGAGTTCACTATCCAAGGTGGTTCTACAGAACAGATGAGTACTCAGTCTACTTTTTACAGAACAAGGAGGATGACATGCAGCCCTAGGGGAAGAATGTTGTTTGTATGCAAACAGCTCTGGGATCACAAAACAAACATTAGACAAATTGGACCAGAGAGCCCAGGATCAGGCTGTGGCCCATTAAAATGATAAAATGATAAATGATAAAAGCAGATATTCAGTTGGAACCTAGGGCTGACATCTCTACTTACTAGACTTGCTGGGCCAAAAAAAATGTCATAATTCTATTCTTTACCTATGGGCCATGCTTAATTGATTAGATAAAAGGTAGGATCCAAAGTAGTAATAATCAATACAAAAGGTAGTATTAACTGAAACTTTCAAGATACATGCACACCCAATTGTGAACCAGCACAATATGAAGGACTATACATGTACATGCCCATGAAAGGAAAATATGTCTCTTTAAGGGGGGAAATGTGCAGGCAACTGAGACTCCATCTTGTTTCTTATACTCCATTTTAGTTTGTAGGTACCCTCTAGGTGAGCTCTGTCTATACTTTCTGAGAATTTCCATCCCTAGTCATAACACCATACAAAGAGAGGTAAATGACTTTAGCACACAGTGGTCAAGACAACCCTTGCCTATATTCCAGTTGATTAATGACCCAGATGTTCTGGAAGGTCCTACAACACTCCTGTGAGACTTTTAAGTATTGTTGCATGGTAACTGAGGAAGCTGAAATTCAAAGGTGATAAGGTTGTCATGGTTACAAGAAAGGTGTAAAGACTTCTAGAGAACAAAAATTGGTGTGATGTGTGTCATGGCAGACTGCTGACCATTCACTGGGCAAGCTGAATAAAACTTGCTTGTTTCTCAATTCTTGGCCTTCGGTGGGTATAACTGTTGATTGTAGCTTACTACAGATACATTCTGCATATATTTTGGGGACTATCTGGAACATTCAAAGTATAGTACTTTTACAGAATTCATCAAGAGGTGCTTTTATTTGGAATAAAAGAGGTTAGGAAACAGTGATTGGTTACACATTTCATGTAAGATTAGACATGAAGTGGGGAGATCATTAAGTATTTTTCCTCAAAGTGAGTGCTATATCAATGAAAATATCTACTTATATCTTCATATAGTTTTAGACATAAAATTATTCTGTAGTATGGCTAAACATCATAATCTGACAGAAAAGCCTTTGAAAACAATCTGTCATGTTGTTAACACTGGACACAAAATTAGACTTCATAGCTCTGCCTGAGATCACATGACTAATTATTGATGAGCACAAATCCACAATCCAGATGCCCAATGCAGTCTCATCTGTGATACAAAATCACCTACCTTACTCCATAATTTTATAAAAAGAAAGCAAGAAAGGTAGTACATCTTGCTCTTGACTGTGATCCTACAGGTAATATCTGTATCCAAAGTTCAGAATACAAGGGCTTGATTATTTTCCTGAGGAACCTCTCCATGTCACAAATGCCTGAAATCCATCACAGGTACAAAATTTTAGAAGCTCTTAAAGGAAGGGCAATAATCACATTAACACTAACCCCATTAGAGTTACAGCAGTTTTCCTTGCGTAAGCATTAATGGTCATGAAATCTTGAAGTGCTTTAAAATCTAAAAGATTACAACTTCCAGCCTTGCTTTATGTATTCTGCAAAACTTTCTTTCTAAATTGACAGAGAAATGTTATTTCCAAGACAAGGAGCACCTCAAAAATTCGGGGCCACCAAACAAATATTACAAAAATTTCTCAGGAACTTCCTAGAAAGAGGCAATGATGCAAAAGATGATAGTAACTTTAAAAAATGAATATACCTGACAGAATGAGCAGCTAAACAAAAGCAAAAAATAAGGAAACCAGCAAAGGGAAAACAATGCAAAAGAGGAATAAGTCAGGAACTTTCAGTAGAAACTCTCAATCTGAGTGGTTTCAGCTCCCCAAACAAGAGATACAATGAATCGAGATAAAAAACCCAGCAATATTCGGTATACAAGAAACATATTTAATTCATAAAGAAATTCACAGCTAAAAAACATGAAAAATAATGTTCCATTCAATGGGAATCCAGAAAAGGGTAGATATTCTGAATTTATACATAGTAGATTTCAAGCCAAAACTTAGCAGAAGAGACAAAACGGTCATATTAATTAAGGAAACAATTCAACAGCAGGAGATGAAAGTCATGAGAATTTAAACACCAAACACCAGACTCTCCAACCTCGTAAAAAAAAGGTTGGAGATGAAAAATCAGATAAACACCCATACAGTTTTACTGGGGGACCTTGGTACCTTATGGACACAAATAGCTCAACTGGATAAAGAATCAAGAAAGAAACGTCAAATTTGAACACATGGGTTTAATGGAAACCTAAGGACTGCTCCAACCAAAATCAAATCAACAGAATACATATTCTTCTCATCAGCACATGAGTCTCCAAAACAGACCACATACTAGCTAATAAAGCATGCTTTGGTAAATGAAGGAATCAGTCTCAGGAATCTGATGATAATCCCAGCACAGGAAACCATAACCTATGGGACACAATAAAGACCCGAGGGACGTTTACAGAGATGAGTGTGCCCAGATCATAAAAACAGAACGATCTCAAATAAATGGCTTAATATGCACTTCAAGGTCATAGAAAAGCAAGAGTGATGCAAATTCAAAGTTAGCACGAGAAAGCAAACTATACAGAACAGAGCAGACAACATGAAATTGAGACTAAAACAATTTGAAAACTTGGTGGATTGAACATCTGGTTCTTTGGAAGAACAAATAAGAATGAAACAAATATATAAATACAGCCATTCTTACCAAAATAAGGGGGGAAAAGAGACCTAAATCCATGGAATTAGAAATTAAAAAGGCAAAATCACCATGGATTCTGCCCAAATCCAGAAGACAATTAGCAAAACTTTGAAGAACTGTGCTCTAATAAAATGAAAAATTCAGAATGTATAGATAGATTCCTAGTTACATAGTATGAAAATGGAACCAAAAAGATATAAAAATTCCAAATAATCCAATATCAGCCATTGAAACAGAGTAAATAATACAAAACCCCTACCAAATAAAAAAGCCCAGATCTAAACAGGTTCATTGCTCAATTCTATAAGAAGCTCAGAGAAAATCTAACCCTAATATTCTTCAAACTTTTTAATGAAATTGAAAAAAAAGCAGTACTCCCAAATTCATTCCTGAAAATAACTATTACCCTGATCTAAACCCAGCAAAGAATTGGACCTAAAAAACAACTACATGTCAATCACTTTAGTGAAACTAGATGCAAAATTCCTCAACAAAACGCTAGTAGACAGAATAGAATATAGCAAATTATCAAACAGATAAACAAGTAGACTTTATTCCAGGGATGCATGGATATATGTGAATCAATAAATGTAATACACTATGTCAACAGAAGTAAGGACCCAAAAAAATCATGTAATCATCTCACTAGATGCAGAAAAACCATTTGACAAAGCTCAATATCCATTCATGGTTAAAAAATTCTGAAGAAAATAGACATAAAAGGTGTTTATTTTAACCTGATAAGTCATTTATGATAAATCAATAGCCAACATCATTTAAATGAAGCAAAGTAAAAGATGTCCTCCTAAAAATCAGTAAAAAGAAAAAAATATTCACTATTATCACTCCTATTTAATATATTTTTCAAAACAATTGTTATCTGTACTTTTTAGAGAAAAGACCACTGGAAATAAAGTTGTGGGAAGTTTTTGTTACCACATACCCAAATACAAGTGATTAATGATTGTCTAATATCTTCTATTCATTAAAGCACATTTACCCTTGATTTACAAAATACATTCAACATTTTATTGCAATAATTATATCTATGTTACAAAGGTTTCTGTTGCTATGACAAAATACCTGAGGGAAAAACAACCTAAAGAAGAAAAGATTTATTTTGGCTCAGTTTCAGCGGATTCAGTCCACAGTTGCTGGGTTTCATTGTTCTGGGCCTATGGTGAGGTGGAACATATAGTAGAGACTGAGGCATGGTGAGGTAAGTTGTTCATGTAGTGGCATGTGGGAAGCAGACAGAGCCAGAGACAGAGACAGAGACAAAGACAAAGACAAAGATAGAGACACAGAGAAACAGAGACAGAGGCAAAAAGGTTGGGGACAAGATATAGGTTCTAGGGTGATACCAGGATCCTTTTCCTCCAATTAGGTCACGTAAATGAAATTCCCATTCTCATGATTAGATCACATTTCAGACCAATTCTTAAACATACAAGAGATGGGGGTACATTTCATATTCAAGACATAACCATAGCCAATGAAATTTTTTCTTTCTATAACAGAAACTCTTTAATAGTTTTGAATTATGTTACCTTGTTTCTTTGATAGACAAAGAAAGATGAAACTTCATGTGAAGCTAAAAATTCATCCCTATTTTAGACCTAAGAAACAAGCAAGGGTGAGGGGGGTATGGCTGTGATTTAGTGGTTTTGCTGCTTCATCAGGCTAAGAACACTGAAATTCATTTTTATGTCTTTTTACTGTGGGTAAAAAGAATATGCCTTTGGAAGATTTTGAAAATCTTTATGATCCTTTATCAATCTTTTACAAATGTGATGCACGGACATCAATAGCCAAGTCATTTGAAAGAGTTTGTTAAAATTTCAGTTTATTCATCCTCGTGAGGTTAATAAAATTATTCATCCCTCATGCTTGCTTCAGCAGCATATGTACTAAAGTTGGAACCATACAGAGAAGATTAACACGGCCCTGCACAAGGATGACATGTAAATTTGTGAAGTGTTCCATAGTTTTTAGAGTAAATAAGATCAAAAATCTTGAATAAATATTGTGAAAGGGTAAGAAATTGCTCAAAGGAGAAAAATAACTTGGATAAGAAGAAGGAGAAAAGAAGGAAGGGAAAATAAAAAATGATACAAATTGGTGTATATATACTTAAGATAGCTAAGATGATTGTACTACTAATTCTATTAGTTCTTGGAAAAGAACAGTTAATACTCATACAATTAGATCAATTTTGCATGTCTATGTCTGGTAATCTGAGTAACTCTTTTGAAGATAACTATGAAAAATAGCAACCACTGTTAGGTCCCATCATTTTGCGTTGAAAGCCGATATTGTTACTGTTTTGGGTTTTTGTTGTTTTTGTCTGTCTCTTTTGTTTCTCATTTTTTTGACGTTTTTTGTTTTTTCCCTCTTTAAAATAAAAAAAAAATTAAAAAACCATTTACTTCTATAACATGTTGCAAGGGCAAATGGAATAATAAACGGCAAATCACCTTATGAAATATCTAAAATGTAACAGGTACTCACAAATGAAAATCACAGCCTTTTAAATGACCATTATTTGCAGAGCAACTGTTACACAGATTTAATGTGGTCCCAATCAAAGTATCAATAATATTACTCACAGAACCACAGAAAGCAGTCTTAAGGCATGTAGAGTCTTAAGGCACTCAGAGGAATGTGGAAATAAAAAATTTAATTCAATTTATGAATGAAACATTTGACCACAATTCCCAAGAGCCAGACCCTAGGATTCTCCTGGGAGCAGTACCTCAGTTTTCACTAAATCAGGGCTCTCAACAACTTTACAGAATAAAACCACCATGAGTAACAAGAATCAACAGCACCCTCTAAATGCTTCGTAGTACCTCTGTCACTACTGTGTTCGGGGTCAATAGAGCTTAAGTAGCCTTTTGTCATTTATCTAAGATCCTTTATATTTCTCAGCATAGCAACCAGATTAATTCTTTGAAATAATACGTGAATCTTATTTCTTAGCTTAGAAGTTCCCCGAGGGAGGGTCTTGAAAGGAAATCACAGTCCTACATGATCTGTGCTTCCTGCTTGAACATAGCTTCCACTCTGCACTCTGAACTCTTACCTCATTCCCAGCTCATAACCTCGCCAGTCTCTAGCCATCATGAAGTCTATGCTGTTGACTGAACAGTTCAAACACATTCCTGACTCAGTACATTTTCTTCTGCCTTCCTCTGCTCTTCTCCAGATGAGAATAATTTCTTTCAAAGGTTTCCCTAACCACCTTCCCATTCAGTTAGTTGCTGCATTGTGTATTATATATGCACTTTCTGGCTGAGTTACTATATTTTCCTGATCGAGCTCCATGAGAACAGATTCACTGTTGTACACAACAGCACTTGACTTGTAATAAGTACTAAGCTGATAAAAGTTGAAATAACATATGTGTCAACAGAACTGTTAAAGACAAATCAATTAGCCATCACCTCAGAATGAGAACCAGTTCCAGTTTTTATAATCCTCTATTCATCAGAATATCATTGAGTGACCAAAGAAGCAGCTGTTTGGAAGTGATTGCTTCATTCACAAGACAATTACTTCTGTGGCTGGCAATGTGAGTACACAGGGATTGCCATGTTGTACAAGGGAGTGCCCCACGAAGGGACTCATACTCCCCTGGGAGGAAAGCTTCTACTTCAACACTGATATGGAACTTTTCCATACTCTGTTTCATGGTCCTGGGCCACAAATGTAATTTTCTTCCTGTGTCTTCCTAGAAATAAAAAAGCAAAATAAAAAATATTGATCTCCACTTTGAGACAGAGTGCTCTCATCTTTGGAAAGCATGAGCATGAGGTAACGAGGAAGATCTAGCATCCTAGGTTGTGAAGAAGGTGTTCAGTTGCCCAGATCCAAGAAACAGACTCAGAGGCATGAAGAGCAGGAAAAGTGAGATTTTATTGCCAGCCCTGGAAGGCCAGGTGTTTGCTGTGAGAGGAGGATACGAGGGCAGTGACAGCACACGGTGTACCCTTAGCATGGAGGTCCCCTCTCTCAGTTCCTCACTGGCTGAGTGCTATGGGGTAGTATCTTTCCCAAACATTTCCTAAGCTTCATTATCTCCCTATAAGGCAGTTCCACATTTGCCCTCCCAATCTCTGTTTGTGTTTCATCATACAAATGGCCTTTTGCTGGCCCACTCAAGGAGTCCAAGGGAGATTTTTGAAGTGAGGTTGCAAGATTAAAAGAATGCATGTGTGCAAGACATCAGCAACAACAGCAGGCAGCATGGAGCAGAGCAGAGCACGAGAGCCACCTGCATCTCTGTCGCGCAATTCTTTTACAGGTTTGTAGCTCATATTTACATTCTTACATAGTCCCATAACCAGTGCACACAAGTTGACCTATGCTAAGTCACAGTGACATAACTGTACCCTACTGAGCACATACACAAGACAAGCAGAGTCACACCTTCAAGTGTTCTTAGATTATTGTCATCTGGAGAAGAGCATTCCAGGCAGAGGAAGGCTTAAGGAAATGTACTGAAGCAGAATGTGTTTGAGCTGTTCAATGACACAAAAATTAAGGGGACTAGGTGTGGAGCAATCCTGTGAGCAAACATCTTCATGGGCCAGTCATGCATAGATTGGTCAGCATACATTATCTCTTTGGAGTAAGTCTGAGAAGAACTGTTCAGGTAAACTTTTAAGCACATTTAAGGCTGGATTTCTGTTATTTGTAGAAGTACCTGGGTATGCACATGAGTTATGTGTATGCAGGAATGTCTACAGATGTAGCTTAGTTTTTTTAACTGGTTGCAAGCTGTATATAGTTTTATGTTTTATTTCTGTGTCTTTAAATGGTGAGAGTCCACCACAATTCACAAGGTCAGCGCCAAGGACACAGACACTGAAGCCTGATCTGGCTGCAGGGGTATGAGTGTCAACCCTGCAGCTTGAGCTTGCAGAATAAATAGTGGGGGCGGGTCTGGTTCTGTTCTTCTGGGAGTACCAGGTAAAGTGTCTCTGGCTGTCATTGATGCTTCAGTCAGTTGAATCCCCAGAGTGGGTTTTAGACCTCAGGATTGGATTCTTTTGCAAGTTGGTGGCAAGAATTTTGGTCAAAAAAGTTTTATCCAAGATGACCACAGCATATCTAACTTGTCTTTTGTTTTTTTATAAGAGTTACTTCCATCTGTAAACACAGTGTACTTAGAATCTGTCAAAGAGGCCATTTTTGAAAAATAATGTATCTCAGTACTGCATGCAACACCTCTGAACAATTATTGTGAGTCTAAAGTGAGTTTGTCAGCTTTCTTGATCAGCAGGCCTGTGGCTGTGGGAGAGTGGAGGCAAAGAGGGGAGACAACTCTGGGAGGGCATTGGGCACCCCAGGGACTGACAGTCTGATCAAGCAAATAGAAACCACCAGCTCCAAGAAATTTATGGAGTTGCTTGCAACAAGTTTCAGTCAGATATTGGAACAGAACTTTTGTGTAGCAGGTGACATATACAGAGGGCAATTATGGTGGCATTGGCAGTTTAAAGATCTTCAATTGGCTTTACAGGCAGGAGAAGTGTACTGTTTGATGCAGGTGGGGTTTGCCTTGGGACAGAGTTTGATTAACAAAGAGGCATGATTGATAGCAAGCCCTGGGGGTGAGTTCTTTGTCCATACTTGTGCAAATGAGTCAAAATTTCAGAGTTATGATTGTCAGGTATTTCAGGCTGATGTAGCACTATTCTTCCTCCTAGGGTTTGATCAGAGTCAATATCAAGTCTAGGACAGTGGAATTACATGTGAAGGAGGCTGGTAATGTCCCAGGAGAGGTATAGGGTACTTAAGCATGTGCAGGACTTCAATAAAATGTCTATCAATCATAGGATCTGTTTTAGAGGAATTTCTTTCCAGTGGGGGCCCTGGTAGCTAACTTCAGTAACTTTAGATGTGTTTATTTACTTATTGCCTCTCTCGTTCAGGTCCACCAGGAGAGTAGTGTGGTACTTATCTAAGGTCTCATGACCCTCTGTTGCACTGCAGTCAGTTTGGATCCACTTGGGGAGGACTGTTCACAGTGGAGGGGTCTTTTAACTTTAGTCAAGCTTGGGCCCCATCTAAAATACGGTGGAATTCTTCAGGTCCAAAAAGAATGAGGAGGATTTGCTGACAGTAAAGTAGGAGGCTGTGGCACAGGCGACAGAATTGGCAGTGGTGGCTTTGCAGCTGGTTGAGAAGCTTGGAGTTGATGAATATGAGGAGGTATATTGGATTTGGAGTCTTCAGGCAGAACAGGGTTAAGTTTTTCTGGGTTTTGCTGAATCTGAGAGCCTTTCAGATGGCCTTGTGAGTTGGTTTTGATGACCAGGATGGCTTTCTTGTTGTGCAGGACACAGGTGCAGACTCAAGGTGGGAGAGTTTTTAACCCCTTATGGCAATTGAATTCAAGTGAGTTGGTTTTTTATCTCAGGATTTTCCAAGTTAAAGGGACTTATGGGAGCTACTGACATTCGCATTTTTAAAAATCTACAACAGTCCAAAAAGGGTGTTGCCTCACAAACATGAGGTCATGAGTTTAATTCCTGATACAAAAAAAAGTACCAAAAGTTATGTGTGGTTTGGGAATCACAGAATGCAAGGTGATGGCTGTGCTGTTGATGACATAGAGACTTTGCATGAGGTGATTAACAGTCTTTCAGGCTGGTGTGTGGCTGGATGCCTGTTTATGCTTCCTGTGACACCTGAAAGTAATAGGAGTCATGGTGAGGCAGTATGGTTGATGGCCAGGCAAGGGGGTGAGTCTTTAGTTATCCTCAGGGTGGAGAGATTTTAGAACTTCAGGATTGAAGTTGTCTGTCTCAGACTGGTGCAGGCATCATTATCCTTTTGGGGAATAGTCAAACTTGGAAGTACAGGATTAAACAAGAGGAAAGCTGGCTTTGTATGAAGGAAATGTTCTCTAAGGCTGTAAGTTCATGCCTGGAAGAAGGGAGAAGCAGGGAAGAGTCCCAGTTGCCCCAGGGATGTTAACTTTT